TAAGCTACCAAGACCATTTTGTAAATTACAGAAGTAGACTTGCCTTTAGCATGTGCTTGTGCCTACTCCAACTCTTCAGCCCATTTAAATGCTTGTGCAATCAATCCTTGCTTGATCGAAATGCTTACTCCATAGAGCTTTACAATACTCACACATGAACTGCAATTAGTTTTGGTGATACAGTACAGTCTTTTTGAACTGCAATCTATGCTTTTATAAGGACACTTGAGTTTGAAGCTAATTAGTATATAGAAGATGTGATCATTATTTATTTTATGATAAAATAAATTTTATATACCAAGTAAATATTTCTGTTCAGAGTAAAAAAAAAATGGACTAGACATCTCCAAACCAGTAGAGCATGATCAAACATCTAGACTACTTATCTCAAACACAAATAGACCCTGATCATGACCAACTTTTAAAGAACTATGGATAGTAATTGAGGTAGTCCAGTCAGTCTTTGTGCTAGTCTTGTCCTAAGTTGCCCCATGTAGAACACTTACTGAATGATTCTGATAAGTAAAGTAGATTCCTTTGCCTTTCGTTGGGAACTTTTGTTGTTCCTTTCAATCCATATGCAATAAGCACAGCCAGCCAACACCATTCTATGGACTTCTGTCTTATTGTTTCTACCCCTATTATGGTCAATGGCCCACTGTAGTTCTTCATTCCAATCCACAGGATCTCTCTGGATATCTTGGCACTTCAGTATTCCTAATCAAATAATTTATGAATATGTGCATTTGAACATGCCCAATACTTTACACTTCAGTCGCTACCTAAGTTTACGGGAGAGTGTAGAAAATTATATAATACCTTATAGAGGGGAAGCATTGACAGTAACTAAGTAGAGATAAAGAGGAGATTACCTCCTTATTGCAAAATTTATCGATTTTAAGGCCATGGGAGTAGGATATCAACATTGTAGAGCTGCAGTTGCAATCCTAGTCTCTTGCTCGTATCTAATATTTAGTGATGGTTTGATCTGCTTTTTCTTAATTCTTGATAGCAATTTTTTTTGTTGTTTTACGGAAGTTCAGTAGCACATAGAATCATTATTTTCTTTTTCAAAAAGAGACGCTCTTTATGAGACAGATCAAAAAGAAAATTAAGATATGTAAATTGGAAAGAATAAAGCACCATTCTGACGAGGAAAAGACAGAAAAGTTCACTGTGCTCAAAAGTTCAATCAACTTTCCACTTTTTTCTCTCTTTTATATTTCTGTTTACTCCTCAATTCGATTCTAGATCTCCCGCTTACTAGGCAGAATGTGTTGTGTATTTCTCTAGCTATATAATAAAAGGCAATACTCCTATACCTTATCTCTTCAGCTTGCTTTAGCTGATATGATTTACAATATTAGGATCGTAGCTTAGTGAACCATAAGTCTCGATATGATTGAGATTAACTGGCTGATTACTTAATATATAGAATGTATTTTCTTTTACATGTCAACCATATCTATATATGCTTGTGAATCTAAGACTTGGATGTGCAAGAAAATGACAGTGTTAGAGTTCTTAATGATAAAAATTCGCATGATCAGACGTGGTTGTTGTTTTTGAGATCTCTTATTATCCATGATAATATTCTATAATCTCTTAATCTATATTCCTTTTATTTTATTCTTTGGACTGTTGTTATTGTTAAAGTTGATATTATTCCACAGAGTTGTCTAAGAGGTATGTTACTTGACAAAGACAAAGCCAATTAGTACATTACCAGATGATGTGGTTTAGTCAACATCTTGAGGCCAATAGGAGATCAGATGGAATACCAATCTTATTGAAGGATGAAGAATGATTTTCTTAATATGTTGAAATTTGATAAGCAGATCTACTTGAATTTGGTATGAGCAAGAGATTGACCAGTGAGTTTAGTAGATTAAATACATCGTATGGTTCGTAAAGCTGTTGGATCCTAGTCTTGAATTGAAATAGGGAGTTTTACTGCAGCAAGTGCTTGGTTGACTAGTACATTTTACTTGTGTGGTAGACTTCATACAGAACTGAGGCCCTGAAAGTTGTTTTTTGTTCGATTTCGTGGGTTGAAAACTAGTAAACCAGCCATTGTTATTCGGGGTGGCAAAAGACCTACAACAAATAAATAGATCTAGATGTTGCTAATGTAGGAGGTGAGTTTCTGTTAATACGAACTCCGACATGGTGCATGACTCTTTATAGATCTAGGCAATGGATGCAGACTTGTCTATAATCATTTAATTTTGTCCAACTATAGAGGATTTGTTAAACTCTAGTTTTCCTATACTCTACGCCTTTCAGGTTAGATGTTGTTGTGTTGATACAATTTTCAAATATTATCATTCTGGTAATTGATATGTGAACATCCACCAGGCGCCAACACACTCAACTCTTTTACTTTTGTAGGAGCCTCTGAATGCCATCTAAAAACGAATCACAAGATGGCACATCTATAATATATGTTGTCAAAGATTTTGATGCAAATCAGAACTTTGTGGTGGAGCGGGATGCACCAAAGGCAGACATATACTGTTCATGTCATTCATTTGAGTACAAAGGTTACCTTTGTAAACATGCTATTGTGGTTCGTCAAATGTCTAGTGTTTTTAATATTCCTTCTAAGTATATATTATAATGCTGGACCAATACTGCCACAATCAGGCATTCCATCAGCGAAAGGCTGAATGACGCGCACGCTAAGGTATGTCGCTATAATGATTTTTGTCAACAAGCAATAATATTGGATGAAGAGGGATCATTGATTCAAAGGAGCTACAACATTGTTGTTGGTGCCATTAAAGAAGCGTTAAAACAATGTTTAAGGAAACAGTCTTGCAGCTAATCTTAAATCAGATAGTAGTGCAACCCTTGCTATCGAAGTTGATGATGATGTATGTCCATGATGTATTTCAATATAGAGTGTTTCCGTGTTTCCTTGACATACATCATCAACTTGAATAGCAAGGGTTGCACTACTACCTAATTTAAGATTAGCGCCAAGAGTGTTTCCTTGATTTTAACTTGTAAAGCTTTTTTAATGGTACCAACAGCAATGTTGTAGCTCTCTTGAGTCAAGGATCCTTCTTCACCAAATATTATTTCTCGTTGACACAAATCCTTATAACGATAGATCTTATCTTGCATGTCATCCAGTCCTTCGCTGATGGAATGCCTGATCGTGGCAGCATTTGTTTAGCGTTGCAATATATACTTAGAAGGAATCTGAAGACACCAAACATTTGAAGAACCACAATAGCATGTCTACAAAGGTAACCTTTGTACTCAAATGAATGGCATGAGCAGTATATGTCCGAATTTGGTGCATCCCACTCCACCACAAAGTCCTGATTTGCATCAAAATCTTGGACAACATATGTTATAGATGTGCCGTCTTCTAATTCTTTTTATAGATGACATGCAGAGGCTTCTAAAAAAGTAAAAGAGCTTAGTGTATTGGCGCCTGGTGGACATTCACATAACAATTACGCAGAATGCTAATATTTGAGAATTGTATCAACACAACGACATCTAACCTGGAAAGCATTACAGTCATGCACCATATCGGAGTTCGTATTAACAGAACCTCACCTCCTACATTAGCAGAATCTAGATCTGTTTATTTGTTGTAGATCTTTTGCCACCCCGAATAATAATTGTTGGTTTACTAGTTTTCAACCCATGAAATCAAATAAAAATCAACTTTCAATGCCTCAATTCTATATGAATATGATTAAGAGATCAATGAATATTATCATGGATAATAAGAGATCTCAAAAACAGCAACCAAGTCTAAACATGCGATTTTTTATCACTAAGAACTCTAACAGTTGCATATCCAAGTCTTAGATTCCCAATAAAAATGTCTATATATTAAGTTTAATCATATCTAGACGTATGGTTCACTAAGCTATGATCTCACTATTGTAAATCATATCAGCTAAAGCAAGCATAAGAGTTAAGGTATAGGAGTATTACCTTTTATTAGATAGCTAGGGAAATACACAACACCTTCTGACTAGTAAGCGTGAAAGCTAGCATCGAATATAGGAGTAAATAGATATATAAAAGAGAGAGAAAAAAAGTGGAAGGAGTATATTGCAGGCCCCTAAGTTTGAGGAGGTGGAGATCTCCCTGAGGCCGTGATAGGTGCTTGCAAGGACCGGATCCACCAAAGAAACTTTCTCTCCATGAGTCATCAATTTTGCAACTTTGAAGACACTAGCACGAACACAATCAACCTTCTTGTTGGGAAGAAAAAATTTTGCAGAGTCAACACGCAAGGAAAGCTGCCAAATAAGTTTCATCTTTGAGTGATTCTTCCACGCCTAGCTCGAGAAAAGGGGCATTTTCCTCTTCAGTTTGTGGTAAAAAAAACTCATGTCAATGTTCCCTGAATAATCATGATTCATCCTTAGCTTTTTCTGGTTCTAGATGTCATAGGGAAGGCTCAAATTTTCTTGGCCCTCGAAACCAGAACTTTGTCCAATCACAAAAGGGAACTTCATCAATGACACCTCTTATAAGTTGGTAAAACGCCAAAACAAGTAAGAGCAGCTTCCAGGGGAAAAAAGACTTCCCTTGGTCATTTACATGAGTCAACTCCTTTGCCGAGGGTATAACTTCATCATAAAAGGACCCATGAACAGGAAGGCTTGCAATGGTTCTCAATATATATAAAAAAAAAAAAAAAACTCTCCGGTGAAAGTGGAGACCGTGTTGGTGGATGGACACAAATTCTCACTGGAGAACATTCTCATTATGGTCATATGTGAATATCAAAGCAAAGATAGCTGAATAAAATAATTGCTAGAACACAATTAAGAGTTGCAAGCTTTTCTTATTATTGTTCTACGTAACCAGATTACCTATTTATACACAAAGTATTAGTAGATTCCTACTATATTCCAACTTCCTCTATATCCCAACTATTCTATAGTTGTATTCCTAAAGGACATCAATTATGTAGAGGTGCTCCTATAGTCCTATACATTCTATACAGATCTACGGTATACATTCTAGTTTTGTTCATGTTGTTTATCACTCCCTCGCAAGCTGGTGGTGGGATTCTGTACAACTCCAAGCTTGGACCTTAAGACATGAAACTGCTGTTTAGGCAACGATAATTTGGTGAATATATCCACAATCTGTTGCAATGAAGGTATGAACCTTGTCACCATAGCACCTTGGACAACTTTTTCCCGCAGCAAATGATAATCAAGCTCGGCATGCTTCGTGTGAGCATGCATTACCGGATTAACTGTAAGGTGAAGGGAACTAATATTGTCTGTGAACAACAAAGGAGGATGAGACAACGAGATCCCAATATCCTTCAAAATGTACGTCACCCATGTGAGGTCAGCAGCTAAAGATGCTAACAAACAATACTCAGCCTCTATGCTAGATCGAGCAACTGTATTTTGTTTCTTTGAAGACCAACTAATGTAATTGGAGCCAAGGAAAACACAAACGCCTGTAGTGGGATTCTGAGAGATGGGGAAACCACCCTAGTCAGCGTCGGAGAACCCTATCAAGTTGAGATAAGATTGGGAGGAACAACGTAGACCGAGAAGGGGAGTGTCAGCAATATAATGAAGAACTCGTTTCATGCCAGACCAGTGAACTTCAGCCGGGCAATGCATAAACTGGCACAGAAGATATTTACAGCACGGGATATCTCAGGTCGAATGAGAGTAAGATATAGCAAAGTACCCACAATGCTTCTATATTCAATAGCATCGACCATAGAACCTGTGGACTCATGGAGATTATGCTTGAGAGATAATGGAATGTGAATAGGTCGGGCATCTTGCATCTTTGTGCGATGGAGAATATCAGAGATATACTTACGCTGGCTAAGGAATAGTCCAGCCTTGGTGCAATAGACCTCAAGACCAAGAAAATAATGGAGAGCTCTCGGATCCTTCATTGCAAAATGTGATTGAAGCTCGCGAGTAAACTGTCGAAGAAGTACAGGATGCTGCCAGTTAACACTATATCATCAACATAAAGTAGTAGCAACATAGTTTCTTGAGAAGAATGTAGGATGAATAGAGACGGATCAGATTTGCTACAAGTGAAACCGAGATGAATCAGGGAAGAGCTAAACTTTTGGAACCAAGCTCTGGGTGCTTGCTTGAGAACATATAAAGCTTCCTTAAGTAGGTATACATGATTCGGATGGACCGGATCAACAAAACCCGAAGGTTACTCCACGAAAACAGTTTCCTTGAGATCACCATGTAAAAAAAACAGTCTTGACGTCCAATTAATCCCCCAATGTCCGGGTGGTTACAACGCAATGCGAATGGTTGTACCTTTGACGATGGGACTAAAAGCGTCATCAAAGTCGATACAAGCAATTTGATTGTAACCTTACGAGAAGAGCCTTAAAGTGCTCCACTTACCCATCTAAAGCCAATAATGTTCATATGAGGTTGCGGAGGTACCAACATCCATGTGCCACTAGATTTCAGGGCTGAGAGCTCTTCATGCATAGCAGTCAACCATGTGGCTTAGAAAGAGTGGATTTAATTGATTTCGGTTTACTGGCTTCAGGATGTAAGGAAGTTGTGTAACTGAGGGATTGAAAGGTAGGATTAGGCAAAGTTTGCGTTTTAGCTCGGGTGAGCATAACGTGAGTATTTTCTATTTGCATATCTGGCGAAGTAGGAGCTATGGGCTCAATAGGATCGACTTCAGGCAAAGGTGCAACACAAGGTAAAGAGGCAAGTTCCGCAAAGAGGTCATTACCTAGAACATTGGACAAGGAAGGACTTGATGTGTTGTTGTTACCAACTTGCATTGATGAATTGTTGCTGCTAGCTTGCATTGATGAACTATTGCTGCTAGCTTGCATTGTATAAGAGCTGCTTCCATGAGTAGAATTAGGGGCTTCAATATTTGGTGATTTCAAAGAATCATTTAACTCAGGAAGTTGGTCACATTGAGATAAAGAAGCAGGTTGTTCCATCGAAGGCATGCGTACATGAGGTGTTCTGAGAGCTGGTGCAATATAAAGATTAAGATGAGAAGGTCAAAAGATAATTTTATTAAGTCTGGCAGCAAGCTATTATATACATAATCTTCAACCAACTTATGCTAAAGTGCAGGCCACCACCTGCACATGATCTACAGCTAACTACTGCAAGATAATAGGAACTATAACTAATCCTTAATATGCTCCACACAGTAGGAGACTTATTCAAACTAGTAACAGGTAAATAAAATAAATACTATGATCAGTTACTACAACCAACAGATATAGTTACTGTAACCAACAGATATAGTTAATACACCCCCTCAAGTTAGGCAAGGTGCAACAATGCCTAACTTGGAACGACACCTAGCAAATGCTGATTTAGGCAGTGGCTTGGTGAATGTATCAGCAAGTTGATCACAAGCATGAGTATGAGTAACATGAACTCAATGATCTTGAACCTGGTCACGTGCATATGCAAAATCAACAACAACATGTTTCATACGGGTATGAAACACTGGGTTGTGAGATAAATAAGTCACTCCAACATTGTCACAGTAGATTGTTGGCGTATTTGAAATGGTGACATGTAACTCATGAAGTAAGTTTCTCACCCAAGTATGCTCTGCAATTGCATTGGCGACAGATTTGTACTCTGCCTCGGTGGATAAGCGAGCTAATGCACGTTGTTGTTTTTTATGAGCAACTGATTGGATTTGGTCCAAAGAAAGAATGTAACCTGATGTAGAGATTCAGTCATTCGGATCAGCCCAGTCCGCATCAGCATACATATACAAATTAGAATCAGAGATGCGAATGATGCGAAGTCCTGAACTTGCAGTTTCTTTGAGATACCGTAGTACTCTTTTAACTGCTTTCCAATGTTCATCAGTCAGGACATGCATAAATTAGGACAATTTATTGACTGCATAAGATATGTCAGGCCGTGTGAGTGACAAATACTACAATTTACCAAGGGTACACCGGTTGCGCGTCGCATTAGTATATGGCGAACCGTCAGCCACTCGAAGTGGTACACTGGAACACATGGGAGTAGAAACACCATTGCAATTTTCCATATCCAGTTCCAAAAGAATTTCCAGAATGTATTTTGATTGAGAAAGAATGAGATCATCTGGTATGTGCTTAACGTTAATACCCAAGAAGTAGTTCAGATAGCCAAGATCTTTCAACGAAAATCTAGCTGCCAAGGAACTGATGACAAATTTGATCACTTATGGATGTTTGCCAGTGATTATGATGTCGTCAACATAGACAAGAACATAAATAGTTACAGCCTTCTACTTCCTTACAAATAGTGAGGTGTCAGATTTTGTTCCGACAAAACCCATTTTCAGCAAATGTTCATGCATAGCATTATACCAAGCCCGGGGGATTGTTTGAGGCCATAAATAGCCTTCTTCAACTTGCAAACATGATTTGGGAATGGGGATTAATAAATCCTAAGGTTGAGACATAAGCACTTCTTCGTCCAATTTTCCTTGTAGGATAGCATTATTGACATCAAGTAATTGATGGATTGGCCAATTGTGTTGCACAACTATAGATATAACCAACCTTACGTCGTTGGTTTGACAACGAGATTGAATGTCTCATGAAAATCCAAGCCAGGGCTCTGCGTGAACCCTCACTGCTAAAAATCGACGGACAGCATCGCTCCAAAAAGCGACGTCATTTGCCACACTGTCCGTCGCTTTTTAATATAAATAATTATTTTACAAAAAGCGATGGACGGCATCTCTTAGTCAGTCGATTTTTTTTGCGGATTTTTTTGCCAAATATATATATAATTAATAATTAATTATTTAATATAAGTAGAGACGTTGTCCGTCATTTTTTATTAAAACATAATTATAAATTAAACAATAACCACGTCGTCTGTTGTTTTTAATTACTTTGAATTTATTAATTTTTTTTTTTAAAAGAGCGACGGACGGCATCTCGAAGTCTGTCGCTTTTTGGTCAAAATTTATGGTCAAACATTAAAGAAAAGCGTCGGACAGTGTCTCTTAGTCCGTTGCTTTTTGGTCAAAATGTTGGTCAACTATTTTAAAAAAAGCGACGGACAAAGAGACGTTGTCCGTCGCTTTTCCTAAAATATCTGGGAGACCAGACGCGAACTTTCTGCATTTTCTCATTCCCCCGTTCTCTCTTCCTTCTTTCTAAGAACCAATGTGTGTGGACACTAACGACGGCGACGGCGACACCTACTGTCGCCGCTGACGCCATCTCCTCTCTCCATTGTCTCTTTCTCCTTTAATTAAAGGTTAGGATTTCATCAAATTAGTTTTTAATTTTTTCAATTTGAGTTATATTTGATTTTGTTAATTAGGGTATTTAAGGACTTGTTTGAATTAGAGATATTAGGACTAGTTAGATTTTGGGATTTTAGGACTAGTTTAATGTAACTTAATTAATTACAATAAACTAATTAACAAAATCAAATATAACTCAATTGAAAAAATTAAAAACTAATTTGATGCAACTCTAAAAAAGGAGAAAGAGAAAATGGAGATGGCGTCGTTAGGGTCAGCAAAAGCGGTGGCGGTGGCGGCGGCGTTGACGTCGGCAAAGACGGCGGCACACAATGGTTCTTAGAGAGAAGGAAAAGAGAATGAGGGAATGGGGAAATTTCGCATTTGGTCTCCCAGATATTTTAAGAAAAGTGACGGACATTGTCTCTCTGTTCATCGCTTTTTTTAAAATAGTTGACCAACATTTTGACCAAAAAGTGACGGACGGACTAAGAGACGTTATCCGTCGCTTTTCTTAAATTTTTTACCATACATTTTGACCAAAAAGCGATGGACTTAGAGATGTCATTCGTCGCTCTTTTTAAAAATAATTAATAAATTTAAATTAATTAAAAATGATAAACGGCGTGGTTGTTGTTTAATTTATAAATAATTATTTTTAATAAAAAGCGACGGAGAGCGTGTCTGCCTATATTAAATAATTAATTATTAATTATATATATTCAAAAATCTGCGGGAAAAAAAGCGACGGACTAAGAGATGTCGTCCGTCGCTTTTTGTAAAATAATTAAAAATATATTATTACTTTTTATTAAAAAGTGACGCACAGTGTGGCAAATGGCATCGCTTTTTGGAGCGACATCGTCCGTCGCTTTTCTGTCCGTTATTTTTTAGCAATTTTTTAGTAGTGAGACATCTGCTTTTCTCTTGATCTGCTACAACCATTTGCAGTCCACAACATTTTTGGATAGGTCTCGCGTTACGAGTTCCCAAGTTTGATTTCTAATTAAGGCATCATACTCTACTTTCATTGCTTGTCCCCACTCTTCATGTTTATCAGCTTTTTTGAAAGTTACAGTTGTAGGAATTAAATGGGTTAGAAAAGAGAGTTTTTTTTTTTGGCTTGGAAATATTATTTTGGGAGCTAGTTGTAATTCTGTTTGAGGGTGGTGGGGGAATCGTGGCAGCAAGTATTGCAAGAGAGGGATCACTTGATGTCATGGGTGTAGGAGTGGTTGTTTTGATTGTATGTTTTACATGTTGTTTTGTGTCTCTAGTATGTGAGTAAAGGCTTTTGTGTGGCGGTGTCATGCAAAAAAGAAAGGGTAGGAAGTTGTGTATTACTTGATGCCTCTATAGCTACTGGTACTTGGTCATAGCTATTGGAGTGAGCATTGCTTGGGGAAGAGGTTGTATTGTGAGAGCTGGTGTAACACCCCAAAAAATTCTAAGTTAAGATCCGAACTATTCTTTATTTACATAAAAGGTTGTATCGCATGATTCTTAAATTGATCATATGTGTAAAGGTTAATTCTTTAGTGTGAGAATGGATTTGGAGATGAATTAAGGTCACAAGAATCTCCTAGCACAAAGTTGAATTGAAACCTTCCATACTGATTAAGTTTTGACATAAGATTCTATTTCACGTCAACTTCAAACGATCATATCTCTCAATACATAATGATTTATGTGGCCCATGACCTACAAAATTGAAGAACTTTGAGTCCTCTTTCCAACACCACCAAGTTTGTCTCATTTCGAGTTCGGAGTAAAACATTATGGTCGTTTTACCAGAGATTATCACCTCCGAAAAAGCTGACGGTAGCCATGATAGGCTGTCAGACCTGTGATGGCCGTCATACATGCAAAATTTCATGTGTTTTTGATGATGACAGGTGACGGGCAGTCATCCTTGTGACGGGTCATTAGGACCTCCGTCATATGCGCTTGGGGTTTTGCCTTTTCAACTAATTAAGGGTGTTTTAGACTTTTATCATCCATTCTAAGCAAAAATCCCGACCCTTTTTCACCTAGTTAAGGGTATTAGAAGTGTTTAACATTCTTTTTAGGTTCTTTAAGACTTCAAATCATTAGAGAAAAGTTCTAAGAGGAAAAAAAGTTAGGGTTTCGAGCGTTCTTCAAGTTTTCATCAATTTTGCCAAGAACTTTGTTCTTCCCAAGTATGTAAGGCTATCATAGTGTTGGATTAGTTCTTCCTCATACCCTACATCTACTTTCAAAT